GTAAGACTTTTTTTGTGTGAAACCGCTCAATGAACTACATCTCTGGTCTCGCACAACAACACACGTCACCAAGATGGCCGTCACTACTGTCTTGCCAAACAAGGGATTGACTACCCTCACTATCAACACAATGAAACACGTCCAGAAGAATGTCATGCAAAGCTGCCTGCCTTCCTTCGATTCTCCCCTGCCTGATCTTTTTAATGTTCAATGTTAACCATTTGTGCAGATCGCATGAAGTAGAAAAGATCGCCGATGTTAATGTAGCGTTAACGTTAGCATTTCTCCCCGGGGGCATCCGGGCTTAAACGGTGTATTATAGAATGATCACACCGGTGTGACAGTAGTCTTCAAAGGGTTCACGAAATATGACTACTACTCTTACTGTTTAACATTTTGGGTTACTTCATGTTACTTCATGTTAAGGCTAATACAAATGACAAGGCTAAGGCTGTAATGCTAACTAACGTGCTTGCTACTAGCTAGGTAGCTAACTTGATCCAGCCACTCCTGGTCCTTTCATCAGACGGGAAGCGAAAGAACGAGCAAGACACATTGCTGTTATGATAACAACCTGGTACCAAGCACACAGGCATCTTGTTAAAGTTATCTTATCCTAGCTATCTCTTATATTTAGTGGAGGAAAACAATTATGACATCAGTTATGACACTTACGCAACTCTGGGATTGACAAACATCATATGTGTAATTCATGGCACAATTCAAACGGGATCGAAAGATAATCTTTCTCTCCTAGACTTTTGGGGGCCCTAAGCGAACTTTGGCTTGGGGGCCCCCCTCACTCTACCGCGTTCTCACTATACACAACCAACTTTTGTCTTATGATTTTAGCATAAGCACACATATTGCATAAATAAGCATGTCAACACCGTGGACCTAACATCCTCTAGGGGCATCCTCATCTCCGCTAGGGGGGTCCGGGGGCATGCTCCCCCGGGAAGATTTTTTAAATATTCAAGTTAAAAGCATCAATCTGGTGCACTTTGAGAGCAAAATTAAGAGATCTATGGATACATCTCTCAACACCCATAGGAAACAGAACTGTAAACAGATTTTATTTTTCTTATATTTTACAAATCACTCCCCTGTATTCTTGTTTTGTCATATAGTATTTCACAACTGTTTTTCATTTATTCTCTGGCTGTCCATCTCCAAATGTTCACATAGAAACTAGCTGTCAATAGGAATATCATTCAGAAGAATTATAATTTCATGTAAAAATGTGTCACAAAAAGAGGTTGCACATTTAAATGCAGGTGTTGTTATGGCAACGTCAGTGGCCAAACAGCCACATTTACTGCTGCAAATACGTTCAAACATGCTGTCGACACGTAAAGCGGTGGCATGCCACCAAAGTGCATCAATCTGGTGCACTTTGAGAGCAAAATTAAGAGATATATGGATACATCTCTCAACACCCATAGGAAACAGAACTGTAAACAGATTTTATTTTTCTTATATTTTACTAATCACTCCCCTTTTAAACTGTATTCTTGTTTTGTCATATAGTATTTCACAACTGTTTTTCATGTATTCTCTCTGGCTGTCCATCTCATAATGTTCACATAGAAACTAGCTGTCAATAGGAATATCATTCAGAAGAATTATAATTTCATGTAAAAATGTGTCACAAAAAGAGGTTGCACATTTAAATTCAGGTGTTGTTATGGCAACGTCAATGGCCAAACAGCCACATTTACTGCTGCAAATACGTTCAAACATGCTGTTGACACGTAAAGCGGTGGCATGCCACCATTTCAGCTAACTTTTTCTCAGAAATACTGTCACATAACATCCATATATTTCATTGCTAGGTTGATGCTTAGCTAAACTAATTATGAAACACTTTAACTGACAGGACTCAGGATCAACTGTGTGTAAGGTAGCTTCTAGCTTCATGTCGAACAGTAAGTCAACATTTCCCAGAGAGCTTTCTTTGAAATCACCAGGTAACGCTAAAAAACACAACATTTAGATTGTATGACAAAGTGTTTATTTAATATATCTGGCTAGCTATAGCTACTTGCTAACGGTTTAGCTTGCCCCCGCGATTCAAAGTAACGTCAACGTAGCTGTAATTTAGGCTTTGCTTAGATGTTCGCATAACTTGGAAGTTTACTGACATTTACATACCTTGTTTACCTGGCTCAAGTGGTGGCTCTGGGGTTGTTGTGTGAGCCACCACTTGAGAATTGTCGTCTCTTTTAAGAAAATATGCTCTTATGTCCATCTTCAAAAACTCTGAGTCCGACTGACAGTTTATTTTAAACATTGTCACAGCTCACAGGATAGGTACCAGTCAGCCAATAATACAGATGTTCATTTCCATTCAACTCTCTGGTTGATCTGGTGTCTTGCCTCTGTTGCATTCACTGAACACGGGAAATTACACTCTAGTGCCATGATGAGGTTTAGGTAAAGCACGGTGAATGTATTATGATTGACTCAATAATATAATACATGACTTTGAGAGTAGGCAATCTAGGCATATTAACTAAATTAATTAAACATACTTATCACGGCGACGGTGTACTGAGATTATTATTATTATTATTTATTTTTTTTCATTCTTTTTTTGTTTGCTAGGGGGCCCTAAGCGGCCGCTTATGTCGCTTAATGGGTCGGGCCGGCTCTGCGTATGATTGTATGAAAATATCTTAAAATAAATACAAAGGTATTTATTATAAACGTTAGTCCTTAACATCTATCACTGTGTATTTCACCATTCAAACATCTTTTAAAAGTTGAACAAACCCCACACAGCTCAGTAAACACTGTGAAATGTTGACTTTATTTGATAATTTCAGTCAAAACTAACGTTCAAATTTCTCTTTTTGATTATAATACTGATGAACGTTCAAAACAAAGCACTTTGGCAAGTTACCATTTTAAAAAGCTTAATAAGCACCGTAACTTTCATGATATAATTTCTCGGTCATAATCGGTTGTTTCCGTGAACGGCCGACTGTTGTGTGACTGCAAATGCTGCGGCTGCAAGACATTGTGGGGCAGCATTTTCTCCTCTCCTATCGGTGAGGGAGGTCCAGTGGCTCCTAAGCTAAAGGAGGTTATAAAGGAAGTTTGAAACCTCCTTTCCTATCATCTAGAGAATTTGAACGGCACTTATCATGGCTGCCACTGAGGGACTTCCGGGTCATTTCACTCGGTTAGGAAGGTTCCGCTAAATGGACTATTCGACTGCAGCCAAGGTCCCATGGGTCGGAAGTAGAAGGGCGGGACTTCGCCTCTCTATAAAAATCGCTGGCCCGCGAAAGTGTCTATTGGATACATTTTGGCCCTTGGACAAATGTAGTTGGTGATCCCTGTACACTACCCGATCTGCAGCTCTGCCCGATCTGCAGTGCGCATGTGCGAGATGGTCCGCCATATTGGACAACTCCAGACGGCAACCCAAGAAGGACAACATTGGCTTTTGGCAAAGCTCAAAAGGAAAACTCGAGAGAGATGAGTTATTGTTATTACAACGTGACTTCACTATTATTTAACAACTCTTTATTGGGTTCTTTTATTTGGGGTTAAGTACATTGTCAGAATAAGTGAGAAATGGATTTAACTTCTGTTAGACAGCTACCATACTGAATACATATTTACTGTGAATGTGTGCAAAAATGTATGGCATAGGCCTATAGCTGTCTAACAGAAGTTAAAACAATTTCTCACTTATTCTGACAATGTACTTAACCCCAAATAAAAGAACCCAATAAAAAGAGTTGTTAAATAATAGTGAAGTCACGTTGTAATAACAATAACTCATCTCTCTCAAGTTTTCCTTTTGAGCTTTGCCAAAAGCCAATGTTGTCCTACTTGGGTTGCCGTCCGGAGTTGTCCAATATGGCGGACCATTTCGCACATGCGCACTGCAGATCGGGCAGAACTGCAGATCGGGGGCCCTTCTCACTTCGGTTAAATGGATTCCTTGCGTCCCTCACTTGCGTCGTTTCCCTGTGACTAGTCCCGTCCACCAGGGAAGCATGGAGGAGCAAGGAAACCACGAGAAGCAGGGAAATGAGTTTTAAGAGCAATGGGACGTCCTTTCCTCCGGAGCGTCACGTGAAGCGACGTCCGTTTGTGATGACGCTGCACAGCTGATCGTCTGACAGCAGCTATGTCCCTGTTATTTTCACACACACCCCCGCCTCTGTTAGTACACATTTACTGACACAAACATTTGTATCATCTGTTGTAGACCCAAATAAATAAAATCAAATAAGAACTCATTCTCAAAAAAGATAAACGCCCTTCTTAAAATGTAAACGAACAATAGTTTGATTAATATTGATTAGAGTGCACAATAGAAATAAAATAATTGAGAGAAGAAAAAGAGATATGTTATCTATCAAAACCCAGTTAGATTAACATTCATTGGATTGCACACTTTGTTTGTTTGTGTGGATATGTAACACATTAACATTTAAATAGCACTTAATGACTGACTGAATGGAAATGACAATAAATGAAAATGTAAAACGAAAAAAGTGATCATGAAAATGGTTTCAATAAATGAAGAAAATGATTTTTGACCACTTTGTTGTTCAGATATATCACATATTTGTAACTAAATGAAACATGAATTGAAACAAAACACGGTATAAACTGAGGAGTGACTCCCGTGAGGTTCATGTATTTTCTTCACTCCGCTGGGAAACTGCTCTCATGTCAAGAAGCATCAGATCAGTGCATGCACTGCCTCGTCCAATCAGTGAGCGATACACAGTAAGGGGCGGGGCGAGTGTCTGAGGATTTCATCGAAGGATGGTCTGGTGGTTCCTCGGTTATAGCTCCTCCATTATCGCTCCTCGCTCCTCCGGCAAAAATAAGGCCATTGGGACGCTACTCAAGATGGCGCAGACAAATCAACTTCCGGTGAGACCGAGACCGAGGAAATGAAAAATAAGAGAATTGAGAATGGCCCCGGGTAGTGACAGTGACAATCCCTGCTGTAACTGATACTAGTGCAGCTACTGTTGAGCTGCAGTGAGTTAACATATCCATCAGAATGTGTGCATGTATTTAAAGAAGGTGAGCCCACGTGTTGAACATGTCTTTACATTGTGTTGCCTGTATGGCAGCGGGTATTTATAGATGAACTTCAAACTGTTTCTAACGCAGCTGTTCTACATTTTTTGTACTTTTTGACATTTAGAACATTGTATCCTAATACATAACAAATCGTAGTTTATTCAAAAAATTGTAAAACCATTTGTGTCCTAATGAATAATTATAAACTATTTGCTATACTGCACATATTTTATTCTCAGTGTCAGTTTCGTATTGGGGTTATTTTCCAGAAAAGGTGGTGCTAGTCGAGCACGCTCAGCTTAGCAGACTCTTCACGCTAAAATGATCACTTCTAGGCTACTCCCGACCTCGCAGCGGGGCTACTGCTGCGGAGATTTCTCATTTCTCTAACCGCCTGCTGCTTCCCCTCCTCTCTCCTCGGTTCCCCTCCTCGATTCCTCCGCTCGCATCTCCTGTGGGCGGGACTAAGACACGAGGATAGGAGTCGAGGAGGGGAATTAGTGAAATGAGAAAGGGCCAAAGTATGTACAAAACTAATTGTCAATAAACTTGATTATAATAAAATTCTTAATTTGATTATAAACCATCAATTATATCACTATGTTATGGAAGTAAAGAAAGGAGTCCAATGGAAGCGTTTCCGGCAGGAGGGGGGGCGGAGTGTGTAGGAGAGAAACTCCCTCTGGACGGAACACAGGGATTTTAGCCTTTGCAGACCATTTACATGCACTAAAACCTGTATTATAGAAAAAGGGAAAACCTCCAAAAGCCTAACAACAGTCTTTAAATCAGACACTGGCAGAGATGTGTGCAGGAAGAAAAAAATGATGTCACTGTTCCGGATATTTGCTTGAATGTGAAGCAGTGGCATCATGTGACACCGACACCAGGGGTCGAATCTCAACTGGTATAAATAGCATGTAGTGTCACACACACATACACACACACACACACACATACACACACACACACACACACACACACACACACACACACACACACACACACACACACACACACACACACTGTCAGATCTCAGTAAACAAGCAGACAACCGGACTTTAACAGGAACTCACAGGTATGGAAACACAATATGTTTTCTTTTTATCTCAGTGGTATGTTGGTATTCATTTTCACAGGGATACTATTTTATATAATTATGATATTATACAATATTCAAACTGGACTCTGAATAATAAACAGGAAACATGTCTCTTTAACAGTGGAATGTAGCCAGATTAGTAGCTCTTAAATTGAAAAAGTTCAACAGCATGAAATTCCACCCAGTTGACACTGAGGAATCATGGGAAGTTGAGTTTACCTCCTTCATCTCTTGGTATCCTCATAACTATGAATGTGTCAGTGTCTTATGCTAACCTTTAGTATGCTAAGGCTAAGAGGTATCCTTTCTGATCTAGTCACCTGTGTACTATTAGACAATGGGTGGAGTATGAGAGAAGGGGGCCCTGGGAACAGGCTGTTCATCTCTCTGTAGTCATTTTGTGTTTCTTTGTCAACACAGTGTCCTTCTTTTTGGTCATGGTATGTTTGAATGTGGTAATTGTATGTCTTTATGATTTTTTTTCTGTCTCTTTAAGACCAATTAATTTTATTTTTGTAGTCCTTTTCTGTCTATTTGTAGTCCTTTATGTTTCTTTGGGGTCATTTTCAGTCTTTTGGTACGTGTCTCTTTGAGTGACATTTGTAGCTAAAGGCCTGGTACGCCCATTCAGTAATATATTAATGATAAGAGTCATTGCAGTGTTAAACAAAATGTGTGAACTCACTAATGCTTGAATTTGACTTTTTCCCTCAGTTTGAGGGTTAAGTAAGAGGTATAGTTGAATATCATCTGCATGGCAGTGATGGAGATCCCTGTGGGACAGAAGGGTTGCTATGGCTAAGCCAAAAGTTCAGACGTTCTTTCAAAATAAAAGCTCTTGTGACAGGGAGTGAACTTTGCTGTGATGTAGTAATGCAGACTCATCAGAAATGTGAGTCTCCAGCAGCAGTCATGTTAGTCATATTAATATCAGCTGAGTGGAAGGTCAGAGAGCTGCCCTGAGGCTCAATACACCTGAGAGGAGCGACAACCACAGATCCTCATCATTACTACTGCAGCTGAGGTCAACAGCGTTGCTAACAAATGCTTAGACCTGCATTTTGTACACCAATCAGACCAAAACAATAACCCAAAAAGCAAATAAAAGCTATACATAAATCAATACATTTTCATGTTTTAGACCATTATCCTCAGTTAATCTCCTCATCAGACAGTGAGCAGAATAACTGAACAGGAAGTGTATTTGCCTTACCAAATGATTAAGTATTTCTTTAAGTTTCTTTAAGTATAACCACTTAACTATATCAAGGCTAAATAAAGGATTTACAACAAACATATATCTGAGGGCAATTTCTTTGTAAAATGTGTACTTTTTGTATAATGATGCCATAAATGAATTGGAAATAATACGTAAGTCATGTTGTTCCTGTAACTTTTTCTAATAATTACATTTATTTTATAAACCCCTGCAAGGGACATAATAAGAAGTATATCTTAATTGAAAATACTTCAGTATGTTTGGTAAAAATTGTATTTTAAATAAACAAAGCATAGAGGACTTAAGAATCGATGTAGGTGTTTTATTTCCTGATTTTCTTTTTCAAATGTCAAGTTAAAAAAAACAATATTGCTGAACAGTTATTTTTATTTTCCTTCACTGAAAAAATGAAACACTGACTTAAATGTATTATGTCAACACATTTCCCATAACTGTATACGTTGAAAGAAATAATATTAAGTTGAACCTACATTTTTTTTATCTGAACTTAATATTATTGCTTTCAACTAAACTAAACCGTTTCAGTTCTTTCAATGTTCTCCTTCTTCTCCTTGGTTCTTTCCAGGAGATGGCTCTGGGGAGGAAGGTCGACGTCCCGGTCAGCGACGTCTCTCTGATCAGAGGGATGTGGGAGGTACGGGTGAAGAAGCACAGACACACACAGAAGAAGGAGCAGGAGAGGATCGAGCAAAGTGCCCTTCCCAAGTAAGATGATCGAGGATGTACAAAACATGTCAGCTTTCACTTTCAGTTATGGTTTAGTTACAGTGAAAGCAGTATTCAGAAGCGTTAGAATGCCATCTTAAGGGTAGAAACGCTGCTTTCAATACACACATTTCAAGAAGGAACAATCAAACACATGCATTATCATCTGTGCATGACTGGTGATCTAGCCACTCTGGTTCTACCTGTCCTGATGAAGAAGGGACCAGGGTCCAGATCCTCCTTCCCATCCTCAGCCGTACTGGGTCAACTCCCTTATGTCAGGGCTGTGGCCCTGTTTGCTGTACACTGAGGGCAGCTCAGGGGTTCTATAGGTGAAATGCAGAAGAGATTAAGGCATTTTTTATTAGAATGATCTGAAAGTAGGCAGCCACGTTGCAGTGATGTGCTTGTGTATTTTCAGGTAAGTTTACATGATAAAAAGGCGTATAAAAGTAGTGACACAGATGTGTAACACATCGCAACTACAAAGAAAACACTACAACAACAGCTTGGTCAAAGTTGACATATTGCCATAAACATTATAATCAGGTCTTAATAAATAACTCAAACAAGTAAGATGGAAAAGGGGTCTTACATGAGTCTACAATGTTACAGTTCCCAAATCTCCACCCAGCTTTGAACCAATTGTAGGACACACACTCAGACACAGCTGACTGTTGTTAGTCATAAACCAAGAGGTCAGGGCTGATTTTAGTCATATGAACACACAGATTGCTATTTATACCAGAACATCAGTGCTGCGGTTCAAAAGAAGGTCATGAGTTTGGAAAATAAACGTCAGGTCTTTCTGAAATATAATCTGATATGAACCTGCAGATGCTTTATTGACACGTCTCTGTGTCTAGGATCGACCAACAGTGGCAGTATCGTATCTACTGTAAGAGCCTGCAGACCAAGGAACTCAACCTGCTGCATCACTACCTGGAGAGATCTACACTGACTGAGACACAACCCTGCACAGGTGACTCACTGATGTACTACGCTAAACATAGACTAATATACAGGTGTACACAGCTAAACATGACTGATATACATGTATACATACGTAAATATATCAGTGATGTTTACCTGCATACACCTATACTGTATATAGGTCATGTTTACATTGTTATACTTGTATATGAGTCATGTTTAGTTGTGTACACCTGTATTTCACTCTTGTTAACCGATACACCTGTCATGTTTACCTGTGTATACTTGTATATCATATGTTTAGTGTTGTATATTGGTTAGGTCTACATTAGGTCTACATTGTTATAAACAATGGTGTACACAAGCAAACATTGCTTATATACAGGTATAACAATGTAGACCTAACATTACCAATATACAACACTAAACATATGATATACAAGTATACACAGGTAAACATGACTAGCATACAGGTGTACTGAAGTAAACATAATTTATGCATAGCACTACACAGGTAAACATCACTGATTTACAGGTATAAAAACGTAAACATGACTGATATATAAAGTACATTACTAATTAAATGGTGTACACAAGTAAATAATTGACGAATAAATGACTAATAAACTGTGTACAGGTAAACACTAAACAGGACTGATGAACAGCATTACACAGGTAAACATGATAGATATATATATATTTCAACAGGTAAACATGACTGGTACAGGTGTACACAGGTAAATATGACTGGTATACAGGTGTACACAGGTAAACATGACTGACATACAGGTGTACACAGGTAAACATGACTGACATACAGGTGTACACAGGTAAACATGACTGACATACAGGTGTACACAGGTAACCATGACTGACATACAGGTGTACACAGGTAAACATGACTGACATACAGGTGTACACAGGTAAACATGACTGACATACAGGTGTACACAGGTAAACATGACTGACATACAAGTGAAGTGTACACAGGTAAACATGACTGACATTCAGATGTACACAGGTAAACATGACTGACATACAAGTGTACCCAGGTAAACATGACTGACACACAAGTGTACCCAGGTAAACATGACTGACACACAAGTGTACCCAGGTAAACATGACTGACATTAGTGTTGTCACGATACCAACATTTTGGTTTCGATACCGATACCAAGTCAAGAATTGTGATTCCGATTATTTTTCGATACTTTAAAAAAAAAATGTTGTGCTTTATTTCACACCAGAACCACATTGGTAAGTTTGCTAAAAAGATAGCCATATTAGACAGTTATCATTGCCATTAATTGCCTCGGCAAACTACGAAAACGTTCATTTGTCACAAAATAAATTACACTTGTTTGACTTAGATTTGAGGGCATGGGCTTGAGCATGATGTAATTATATTATCTATCACATTCGCTAACCTGTCTGTCTTTACATTCTTTAAACAGCTCTGGATTCCGGTCGGCGGGTGCTTAGCCAAGTTTGATGTGTTGGCTCCCTTGGTTTGCAGGGATCTAAAACATGTCTTACAGACAGGCCTCGTGGTGTCCGTAGGCTTGCCCTCACTGTCAGAGATATAGCTCAAATACTTCCAAATGTCGCTTCTGGCGTCTTTTTTGTCAACATGCCGAGGCGCAGCGCCAGTTTCACTCCCACTTGCAGCCATGCTTCTCATTTTCTCACGTGCTCTGGCAGCTAGCGCGTGCACGAGAGAGGGGAGACACTTAGAGCGTGCTTGAGAGGGGAGACACTTAGAGCGTGCTTGAGAGGGGAGGGACTTAGAGCGTGCTTGAGAGGGGAGGGGCTTAGAGCGTGCTTGAGAGGGGAGGGACTGCAGGCACGGCTGCTGTGCAGGGAGTGGAAGCAGAGCGCTGAACACACACGGCTCTTATTAAAACGGCGCTTTCTCACCGGAGTACTTTTCCCCGTCATTCTTAAAGTACCGATACTAATGAAACGGAGGAATCGTAACGCTTTTAACGGCAGGGTATCGCGGTACCTTTCAAGTATCGGTACACCGTGCAACACTAACTGACATACAGGTGTACACAGGTAAACATGACTGACATTCAGATGTATACAGGTAAACATGACTGACATACAAGCAGGGTTGGGAGGGTTACTTTGTAAATGTAATCAGTTACTGATTACTGAATACATGGCTCTGAAAGTAATCCGAATACAGTTACAGTTACGTGTCTTAAAAAAGTAACGTAATCAGATTACTTTTAGATTACTTTTGGATTACTTTCTTTTTCCATCACAGATGGGTATGTTTTGGTGAACAGGAGACACAAAAAGCAAAAGGAAACTGAACGTGTTTTTACTGTTTTAATGGCTTATCAAGAGCACAACTGAAACATCACATCTGAAACGATGTAACAACATATTACACGTCCTGGGGATGCAGCTTGTGATGTGAGGAGTGAGGGACACGGCTTAGAACGGGCGTGTCGCCTTCTGTCCTGCCAGTGTTGGCAGGACATGAATTAAAATATCGAACTCGGACTTCATTTTAAGGACATTTCGGCCAGGGGTGTAGAGCTATATTTGTTTAAGCACCGGATTGGCAAAACAGCAGAGTGTGTGCACCAGTCTGCCTTGATCTATGTATTCATGTCTGTGACTCTCACAGTATCTGCTGCCCGCAGCTGTTTTGTAGAAGGAACACCTCCTTCACTTCATGAAATCTCTGCAGCACCAGGAGGCAGCGGGAGGGTTAACTCAGCCTCTGAGAAGAGGAGCGCACAGTGCCTTTCACGCACAGCCTTCACGGTGTTTACCTTCAGAATCATTAGAAAGACTAAAGACCGACCGCAGGCTGATGTGTTTTAACCACACACCTCTACACACACGACTTAAACGCAGACTTTTGTTCCTCCATGTTTCGTTGTTATTGTTTCACTGAGCGGACCCGCCCCTTTTCTTTCAAACGCTCCCTTTTTTGGTCCATCTGCGGCGGTAAAAGTTTTTGTGCGCTGTGATGATTCGGCTGTACCTTTAGTAATGAATATTAAATGTTGAGAGGAAATCTTTCCACCAATAATTCCAATAAGTAATCCAAAATGTATTCACTTCAGGTTTACGAAAGTAACTGTAATCAGATTACTCGTTTTTCAAAAGTAACGCGAGCTGAATACAGTTACTTGAATTTTGTATTCTGATTACGTAACGCCGTTACATGTATTCCGTTACAACCCAACCCTGCATACAAGTGTACACAGGTAAACATGACTGACATTCAGATGTACACAGGTAAACATGACTGACATACAAGTGTACACAGGTAAACATGACTGACATTCAGATGTACACAGGTAAACATGACTGACATACAAGTGTACACAGGTAAACATGACTGACATACAGGTGTACACAGGTAAACATGACTGACATACAGGTGTACACAGGTAAACAGGTATATTGCTTAAATTATGTTGTTGTGTACTTTCTGTTGTTTATCTGTCAGAAGCAGAGCAGGATCAGAGAGATCCGGAGCAGAGCAGGCTGATCTTCCAGCTGGACGGTGAACAGTGGATGGTAAGCTGGAAATACATTCCACAATGTCTGAAAGGTAATAAAACCTGTTAATTAATAAGTGAATATTTGTGCAGGACTTCCCCAGGGAGCTGCAGTGGATGACGTACCTCAAAGAGTGGCACGTCAGGGGGACGAGGATCTGCCGGCTGCCTGAGTACCTGGCTCTGTTCACCCAGCTCTCCGTGCTCCAGATCCCAAAGAACACCATCGCTGAGCTGCCTCCTGAGATCGGTGAGGTCAAACACGTTTTTAAACATGGCTCATTTTCAGAGAGATCTGATTTCAGTGCCATCCTGCATACCTGAAGTTGTGTGTTAAACTGAAATGTTGACTTTAATTAAATGTCAACACATTTCACATAACTTCATTAAGTTAGTTGAAAGCAATAATATTAAGTTTAACCTATTATTTTTCATTTAAACTTGATATTATTGCTTTCAACTAACCTAATACAGTTATGTGAAATCTGTTGACATGATATATTTAATTAAAGTCAACGTTTTAGTTTAGTGCATAATTTTAAAATACACAAACATAACAGAAAGCAAATAATGTACTTTGCAGGATGTGGCAGAAAAGGCAAATTATTAAAAAGAATAGGGATTCAACAGTGATGGCAACCAAAAAAATAAATAAATACAACAACAAAATAACAATTAAATGTTCAAAAAGAAAGGAAATGATTGTGGAAAGTGTATGTATATCAGTGGCGAACAGTGTCATATCACAACTGGACCTTCTGTAGACACACACACCCCCCGCCGCCCCCGCCCCCCCGGCATTATAATGTCCGTCTGTTCACTGAATTGTCGTCTTGAAAAGGGTACTCACAACAAATCCGCAACAACTTCATCTTCACCTGTTGCACTTGTCATTTCAACGTTAAAAACAATAAAACGACATGAATTGCTTCGTCGCATTCAACTAGATCAGGGGTTCTCAAAGTTTTGATGAGTGAGGGCCAATTTAGGTACCCAATATTGGATTGAGGGCCGCCCAAGAAAAAACGGAACACAAAATAATTCCAAAACAAATCCTTTCTTTATTGTACTAACCAATTACCGCAACTCGCGAGATGCCTAGTTGCCATGCAACCAGTAGTCTAGCAAACTTTCCACAAGCTGTCATTCATAATTTAGGAATGACAACCCAGGGGGCGCAGTTTTACCATTCTTAACCCTCTGGAGTCTAAGGGTATTTTCTCGATTTTTAGATGTTTTCTTAAATCACCTTTTAAATGTATTTCTTCTAACATGGCACCCCATGTGTTAAATATCAAAATGTTCAGGACAATCTCTGGTCTTGCTATATATGCATAATACTCACCTTAGAGCACTGTTTGATGAGATAAGTAGCTCAAAAGCTTAAAATGTGAAATCAGATTTTTGGAAAATCTTCAAAACTCTTGTGAAAACACAAATTTACTCGTGATCGAATTGTTTTGGTGTTTTAGATTTGGTTACCAAAGTCCTAGGATCACAAAAGCAGTGAAATATTTGAATTACACTGTATATAAATGTGTTATTCATGTCTAAAATGAAAAACATTAAATTCAAATTTTGAGTAAAATAGGTGTTTATCACTCTACTTTCACCACAGCAGGGACTGAGATACATCAGGACTGAATAATGACTTCATATTACATACCAAGGTTCATGTGTACAAATACAAATTGAGCATTCAACCTTTTTTTTTCAACCAACAATTTATTATAAATATGTTTTTTTCAACCAACTATTTATATAAATATAAGAAACTGGAAAATCTCACTATTTACAATATTGAACATCAGAACTTTCAACCAACTATTCATTATAAATGTCAAGACAGTGTCAAGGTCTTTGTCTGTCTTCCAAGACAGTGGGTCTGGCTGCTGTGTAGGTGGGGGTGATGGTGCATGGGCTGCTGTGTAGGTGGGGTGTACAAGTGCTATACAAGACCTCCACGAGACCTCCTTGCTGGCTGGGTTGAAGGTGATGGCTGTGGTGAAGCCTTTGTGCTGAGGTGTATCTTGACCTGGTGGCAGCCGCAGATGGAGGTGGAGGCAGCTGTAGTGATGATGGTCTGCTGGTCCTTGGTGGTGATGGCTCTGGTGAAGGCCCTTGAGCCACAGTAGATCTTGACCTGGGGGCCGGCACAGATGGATGTTGTGGCTGCTGGATAAACGCCGCCTGTGTAGGACAATAATTACAACTAATTTAATTGAAATAAAGTTCAAGTAAAATGTTGCTCAAGCACAAATAACAATGCACACATAAAAATAAAGTTTGGGAGGTTGCAGAAGGAGTCTCTCTCGATCTCTCTCTCTCTCTCTCACACACACACACACACACACACACACACACACACACACACACACACACACACACACACACACACACACACACACACACACACACACACACACACACACACACACACACACACACACACACACACACACACACACACACACACACACACACACACACACACACACACACACACATTTCCAGTTACTTTACATTCAGTATAAAATCACAGACACACATATACATAGGCTACATCTGATTACAAAGTCTCATCTGTACAGGACGGTCAAATAATAACAGGCACACATATAAATAAATCTATGACAAAGTCTCATCTGTACAGAACAGTATGATAAAATAATCGATGGCAAAAACATGTCACTGTAAATGTCTCCGTTGTGGGACGAATAAATGATTAATTTAATCATCTACACATGTAATCTCACTTTTACACACCAAAATAACGTTAACACAGAGTAAACGTTTGCTAATGGAGAGTCTATTTTGTCCCAATAAAAAGTTCATGACTATCGATAAAAAATATATATCAATAAACCTATTGTTCATTTTCGCGGTATTCCCCACACATTGCCAGTACACTATTACTGTAATATTTACACTTACCCATGTTCAAATGGATCCTTGTTGTTGTCTTTGTATTCTTCTTCTTCAGAAGAGTCGAAGACTTCAGGTTCTGAGGCTCTATCTTCACTGCTGCTAGCGAAAAAAATCTCTAGCGAAGTCGGCAACTGTAAAGTTTTTTTTAGCCATTTTATCTGTCTCTCTCTCTCTCCTCACAGACCTAAACTGATGGGAGACACGTGGTTTATGTTTTTTTTACTTGGTGGGTAGGCCCTTACGGCCCGTCTACACTACAGGCATCGAAAAAGCTTGAAGCTGGGCGTGTCTGAAGCTTGGCGATTTTTTGCGAGCAACGCGACCAACAACCAATCACATGAATCTCCCGCCCCCGACATACAAAGCAATAGCAATGTTAAAACGAAGTAAACTGGATATAAAATCCCCAAACAGGCGAAGACATACCAGTTTCACCGACTGTCTCTGTGATTTGCTACCGTAATTTCTCGTTTGGAATATGAGGAAATGAACTGCGGTCTGGCTCTCCCAGCTTGCACACGGTTTGATTGGCTAGCGCTTGTACTGGCGGGAATTGCAAAAACGGGATTTGATTGGCTGACGCCAGCTTCGAGCAAGCATCGAGCCTGCTTGCAACATTGTTCAACTTTTGATGCCGATAGACGCTCGCGATGCTTGCAACGCCTTGCCATGCTACCCACAATGCAGTTCGGCGAAGTTTGAAAATATCCTACGTCACCCCATTCAAATGAATGGGCGAAGCATTGAAAGCATTTTTTGACGCCTGTAGTGTAGACGGGCCGTTAGTGATTTCTCGATGTCCATTGGTCATTTCAGACCATGATGGCTGCCGGCCGAGATTTCCTTGACGGACACACAAATCCACCAATCCCACACAGTGTAAAGTCAAGCTGCTTTGAGCGGCCATATTGGCTGCTGTGCCCTGGTTACAGTCTCACAGGAGATACCGCTGGAAAGCTACTCATTCTAATTCTTACTAGATACAACCATGGAGGATTAAAATATAACGCATGCATTTTAGCGTGTCACATTAACTATCGCGGGCCGCCAGAAACATTTCCGAGGGCCGCCATTGGCCCGCGGGCCGCACTTTGAGAACCCCTGAACTAGATCCTCTGTCTCGAGCCAGTTAACTAGCGGGCCTTCTAGAATACCCTGGAACCGAGTGAACCTCTGAAAGAATACGCCCATTGGCTACAAATCAATATATGATTGGTTGATCAAACTGTCAGTCCAAACGTACGCTCTCATTCAGTGCAACGGCCAGGGCCTTCCATCAAGGATATAGAATACCTTGGTTGAAGGATATTCTACCCAGAGACCCAGAACAAGATCTGATTGGTTGCTTTCTTTTCCAACACAAAACCACTGAAATGCGTAATGCATGGTCCGAGAAGGACAAACAAATCAACGTAACACTGTAATATTACAGATCAACAACACAGATACGATTCTCATTTATTCATTTTATATACATTTTATTTATATAATTAAATCGATTTGTTGTTTGTTTTATCTGAGTGTTCCAGGGTATTCTCTGAATACCTTGAAGGCCCTGACGGTTCGCCACTGATGGGTTAGTGCTTGTGTTAGTGAGGGGGATATTGATTTTGACACCTGCATTGATTCCTATGCAATAGAGATGTTGAACGTCACTGTGACCGAAACAAAACACAATAAATAAGGTGATACAACATGGATACATGGATATCAAATACACAGCTACAAAGCAGCAGATAAATGGTCTTAAGCGTTGTTTGTAGCATTTGATAGAGGAACAGTGTTTTGACAGGTGAGAACAAGGACAGGTGAGGAAAGAAAAGCCATTTCATAACTTGGTGAAACAGTCTCTTCTGTCCTCAGGTAAATTGACGGGTTTGAGGGAATTAAACGTCAGCTACAACCGTCTATCCCAAGTTCCTCCAGAACTTGGAGACTGTGAGAACCTGAAGAGACTCGAACTCACCGGAAACCACAACCTGTCCGAGCTGCCGTTCGAGGTGAGGCCAGGAGGATGCATTTATAGGCGTGCATAGCTAAAAAAACAACTTCTCCAGACAGTGAACCCCTTCTTCTTTCAGACACTAAAAGATTACCTTAACATTTCGTTAAAACAAATGTCTTCACGCTTTCATGGGAGTTTGATGTTTCGTTCCATCAAAAAGTCATGATCGTTTTTGTACTTTAGTTTCTGTGCAGATTAAACAGTATCAGATATACCATGTTAATTATGACGCATTTCCATTGCAGGGCCTCGCTCGGCTTAGTACGGTATAGTTAGACCTTGTTAGGACTGGCTCACTTTATGCTGCGTTTCCATTACAGTTTAGTAGCTAGGGCAGTAACTATAGTAACGCAGTGTAGGCGGAGCCGTGACGTCATCTTCAATGCGAACCACAGCCGTTAGCTGTTAGCACTCAGAGCTCACAGCTCCTCATATGTGTTCAGAAACTAGACAAAAGTTAAACAAGTACAAACCGCAGACTGTCTGTGTCATGGCGAATACAGTCGCTGGTTTATTTATGTCTGTATAGGCCGTTGTTGGAAGTGTGGACGGTCGGAGAATATACTGCGTTAGCTTAGCCAATCTCCATTTAGAAAACACACATTTTAAAAGGTTTTTCGCCTGCCGTCTGTCTGCAGACTTGTCAAAGCATTAATTCATGGTTTTTACTAACCAGTATCAGTATGTTGTTACTTCGGCATCATTTTGAAACGTGTATTACAATTAAATCACAGTCAAATATGTTCATCTTGTTGTAGTTGTAGCCCCCTTGCCAGCGATTCTCTCTCTAGTTTAGCATACTCAGTCCGACTCAGCCTGGTTGTTGGCCCGCTATGAACCTCGATTTTATCGGGCCAGAAAAACTGTGAAATAGTACCCGCTAGCCGGTACTACGCCAAGTGGAAACGCAACCAAAAACGGCTTAAACCGCGCTCCGTAGTGGTAATGCGCGGAGGTAATTAGTGAGCTTTAGAGGTAGATGTATGTTGGAAATAAGGACAGCATCAGGATGGCTTTCACCCCTTTACCCTGCTTTTGTTCGGCTAACTTGCTTAAGCTTCATATTTACAGCACAGCCATGAGTGGTACATGTACATCAAACCCTTCACTACTATTTGTTTATGTACATAATGTGTTATGCTATCAATCAGAGGTGGAAGAAAAACATTGAAAAAAACTAAATGTTTACTTTAATTAAATGTATGATGTCAACAGATTTCACATAACTGTATAGAGAACCGCAGTGACGCATCCTAAAACCCGGAAGTAAGTTAGCATTTTTACCACTTCCAGTTCCTTTCGACAAAAAGTAACAATTAATATATTACAATGCAATTACTCCATAAGATTTTGGAAAATAGCTCGAAATAAGGTCTGTGTTTGTCACAAATTGAAGAGACAGATCATGTTTTGTTCTACGACATTAAATACATCAGCAGTGACCCCACTGGTTTGAAGAGTTTACGTGTCTGAAAAACGATGGTTGTTAACATGTGGCTGAATAGGACTACAGAAGTTGTCGAGGCCGCTGTACGTCATTACACCGAACACGTAAACACTCCCGCTAAGTTTGTTTGCCCTGTTCTGCTTGAAAGCAAGTACCTGCCTCCTGCAAACTGTTCAAACAAACACTTCAACTTGTACAATTTTGAATCTGTAGTTTTGAATATGGATCTCAAGTCGGCGTGACGTTGAAGCAGCGACCCTGCTGTAGTTCATTTATAGCATAACGTTAGTGTAAGGGAAACTTCTGTGTAGCAATGCAGTGGGAGTCACCGACTCAGGAAAGAGACACGGGAAGAGCAGGAGCTTTGATGTCAAACACTGATGGTTTATTTGGAGCTTCGGCCGGAGAATTCACATCACAAGTCACAGCAGCCACGATCTGACTGCACGGTAGAGTTGCCACGTCAATTCTGAAGAACTCTACCCCAGACCCCTGTATTTAGCTAGTTCCGAGAGCATCATCAACATGCTGCATAACAAGATAAAATCACAACACCTCTATCAGCTGACGCCAACAGGCAGGAACATAGAATCATAACACCTCTATCAGCTGACGCCAACAGGCAGGAACAGGGAGACAGAACACTGAGAGCACAGCAGCCAAGGTTACGAGGTGCGTGTGCTCAGTCAGGACAGTTTGAACTGATAAACTGGGTCAAAGTTATGGGCCTTGGAAAATATTCCCCAACAGTTAGCGTTTTGCTTCAGGCGACTAGATTTATGATTCGCAAATTATAAAAGTAGGGTAGACATGTGATCCTTTTCTTGAATGTGTCTCAACCACAGACCTTATTTCGAGCTATTTTCCAAAATCCTATTGAGAAATTGCATTGCATTGTTGTCCAAGGAGTTTACTGGGTTTTATCACTGCGGTTCTCTATTGAGTGGCGAAGTCCCTCCCTTTCCGGTGGACCTCCATGGGACCTTATTTCGGAAAAATTATGTATTGAAGTCAATGGAGATAGAAAGATTATCTTTCGATCCCGTTTGAATTGTGCCACGAATTACACATATGATGTTTGTCAATTTAAAAGACAATTTTGGCAGTAAAAAAAATAAAAATGTGTCGTAAAACTGTGAAGTAACACATTTGTTTGTGTGAAACAGTCAATGAACTACATCTCTGGTCTTGCACAACAACACACGTCACCAAGATGGCCGTCACTACTGTCTTGTCAACGAAACGATTGACTACCCTCACCATCACCACAATGAAACACATCCAGAAGAATGTCATGCAAAGCTGCCTGCCTGCCTTCCTTTGATTCTCTCTGAACTGCCTGGTCTTTTTAATGTTTAATGTCAACCATTTGTGCAGATAGCATGAAGTAGAAAATATCGCCGATGCTAATGTAGCGTTAGCATTTCTCCCCCGGGCTTAAATTATGTATTATAGAATGATCACACCGGTGTGACAGTACTCTTCAAAGGGTTCACGAAATATGACTACTACTCTTACTGTTTAGCATTTTGGGTTACTTAATGTTACGTCATATTAAGGCTAATACAAATGACAAGGCTAAGGCTGTAATGCTAACTAACGTGCTAGCTACTAGCTAGGTATCTAACTTGATCCAGTCACTCCTGGTCCTTTCATCAGACGGGAAGCGAAAGAACGAGCAAGACCCATTGCTGGTATGATAACAACCTGGTACTAAGCACACAGGCATCTTGTTAAAGTTATCTGATCTTAGCTATCTCTTATATTTAGCGGAGGAAACCAATTGTGACATCAGTTATGACATCACTTACTCTGGGATTTGTAGTCTTTCTAGTTGCGTATTTTTCATAGTCTTATATTTCAACAGTTTTACGACAAACTGTGACTTTTTTGACATGGAAATTATTTTTTAAGATTGACAAACATCATATGTGTAATTCGTGGCACAATTTAAACGGGATCGAAAGATACGTTTTCTCTCTCCATTGACTTCAATACATAATTTTTCCGAAATAAGGTCCCATGGACAGGAAGTAGATGGGCGTGACTTCACCACTCTATTAGGTTAGTTGATAGTGTCACTACCCGGGGTCCTTCTCACTTCGGTTAAATGGATTCCTTGCGTCCCTCACTTGCGTCGTTTCCCTGTGGCTAGTCCCTCCCACCAGGGAAGCATGGAGAGACGCAAGGAAACCACGAGAAGCAGGGAAATTAGTTTTAAGAGCAATGGGACGTCCTTTCCTCCGGAGCGTCACGTGAAGCGACGTCCGTTTGTGATGACGCTGCACAGCTGATCGTCTGACAGCAGCTCTGTCCCCGTTATTTTCACAAACACCCCTGCCTCTGTTAGTACACATTTACTGACACAAACATTTGTATCATCTGTTGTAGACCCAAATAAATAAAATAAAATAAGAACTAATTCTCAAAAAAGATAAACGCCATTCTTAAAATGTATAAACGAACAATAGTTTGATTAATATTACATTACATTACATTACATTGCATTTAGCTGACGCTTTTATCCAAAGCGACTTACAATAAGTACATTCGACCAGGAAGACACAACCTTGAAGAAAACAGAATCATATAAGTACATCAGGTTTCATAGAGCCAAACATTTCAAGTGCTACTCAACTGGCTTTAGGTAAGCCAGTCCTTTATTAGTATAAAAGTGCTTCGTTAATAGTTCTAACGCTCGAAGTGGAGTCGAAAGAGATGAGTTTTCAGTTTGCGCCGGAAGATGTGCAAGCTATCTGCCGTCCTGATGTCAATGGGGAGCTCATTCCACCATCTTGGAGCCAGGACAGCAAACCCACGTGTTTTCGCCGATGGGAACTTGGGTCCCCCTCGCAGCGAGGGCGCAACGAGTCGTTTGGCTGATGCAGAGCGTAGTGCACGCGCTGGGGTGTACGGTTTAACCATGTCCTGGATGTAGGAAGGGCCAGATCCATTCGCAGCATGGTAAGCAAGTACCAGTGTCTTGAAGTGGATTCTAGCAGTTACCGGAAGCCAGTGAAGGGAGCGGAGGAGCGGAGTGGTGTGGGAGAATTTAGGAAGGTTGAAGACCAGACGAGCCGCTGCATTCTGGATGAGCTGCAGAGGTCGGATGGCACATGCAGGTAGACCAGCCAGGAGGGAGTTGCAGTAGTCTAGGCGTGAGATGACGAGAGCCTGGACCAGAACCTGAGTCGCTTTCTGAGTCAGCTGGGGACGTATCTTCCTGATGTTGTAAAGCGTGTATCTGCAGCAACGGGTTGTAGCAGCGATGTTTGCAGTGAAGGACAGGTTGTTATCTAGGGTCACACCCAGATTCCTTGCAGTCTGAGTCGGGGAAACAACTGAGGTGCCGATGTTGATTGTTAGGTCAAGAGTGGGACAATCTTTTCCCGGGAGGAAGAGCAGCTCAGTCTTGTCAAAGTTGAGCTTGAGGTGGTGAGCAGACATCCACTGAGAGATGTCAGCTAGACAAGCAGAGATGCGTGCAACGACCTGGGTCTCTGAGCGGGGAAAGGACAGAATTAATTGGGTGTCATCAGCGTAGCAGTGGTAAGAAAAACCATGCGGGCTAATGACTGATCCGAGCGAATTTGTGTACAGGGAGAAGAGGAGGGGACCAAGAACAGAGCCCTGAGGGACCCCCGTAGTTAATTGACAAGGGTCGGACTCAGACCCTCTCCAAGTCACCCTGTAGGTACGGTCTTTCAGGTGTGAGGTGAGGAGAGAAAGTGCAGAGCCTGAAACTCCAAGTTTTTGGAGAGTGCGAAGGAGGATCTGATGATTCACCGTGTTGAATGCAGCAGACAGGTCCAATAGGATGATGACAGAGGAGAGGGATGCAGTTTTGGCAGTGTGCAGTTCCTCCGTGACAGCAATGAGAGCAGTTTCTGTGGAGTGACCTGCCTTGAAACCAGACTGGTGCGGATCCAGAAGGTTGTTCTGATTGAGATAACAGGAGAGTTGTTTAAAGACAGCGCGTTCAAGTGATTTAGACAGGAACGGGAGGAGAGAGACAGGCCTGTAGTTTATAACATCAGACGGGTTGAGAGTGGGTTTCTTTAGGAGAGGGTTTACTCTTGCCTCCTTGAGACTGTTTGGAAAGTGACCAGAAGTTAGAGAAGTGTTGATGAAATGGGTGAGAAACGGTAGAATATCAGGAGCGATAGTCTGAAGGAGGTTTGAAGGGATAGGGTCCAGAGGACAGGTGGTAGGGCGGGCAGAGGTAATGAGGGTAAGAACCTCACTTGGAGAGAGAGGGGAAAAGGAGGTAAGTGTGTTGGTGGAAGGAGGGTCTGGTGACCCAGCGGTGAGTAAAGGTGAGTCAGGAAAAGAAGAGCGAATATCATCAACCTTTTTTTCAAAGTGGGTAACAAAGTCGCTTGACAGAAGTGAGGAGGGGGGAGGAGCTTTTGGAGGGTCCAAGAGGGTGGAGAAGATGGAAAATAGTTTTTTAGGATTGGAATAGGAAGATTGGATCTTATCTTGAAAGAAAGTGCTTTTTGCCTGAGAGATCGAAGCAGAGAAAGAGGAGAGCAGAGCTTGATAGGTTAGGAGGTCGTCACGGTGTTTGGATTTCCACCATTTCCGCTCTGCTGCCCTAAGGACGGTTCTATTAGCACGCAGTGCATCATTTAGCCAGGGAGCAGGAGGGAGAGATTTAAAATCTCTCAAACGCGATTTAGCCGTTTAAGCTACAATAACAATTTATACAGAGTCGAATAAATGAAACAGAGAAGTCTAATTAAACAAGAATATAACTTACAGTGGTTGCTGCGTCAATAGGTAATGTCGTCACCGGGTCCAGATGCACACTAATATTGATTAGAGTGCACAATAGAAATACAATAATTGAGAGAAGAAAAAGAGATATGTTATCTATCAAAACCCAGTTAGATTAACATTCATTGGATTGCACACTTTGTTGTTCAGATATATCACATATTTGTAACTAAATAATACATGAATTGAAACAAAACACGGTATAAACTGAGGAGTGAGTCCCGTGAGGTTCATGTATTTTCTTCACTCTGCTCTCATGTCAAGAAGCATCAGATCAGTGCATGCGCTGCATCGTCCAATCAGTGAGCGATACACAGTAAGGGGCTGGGCGAGTGTCTGAGGATTTCATCGGAGGATGGTCTGGTGGTTCCTCGGTTATAGCTCCTCCATTATCGCTCCTCGGTCCTCCGGCAAAAATAAGGCCATTGGGACGCTACTCAAGATGGCGCAGACAAATCAACTTCCGGTGAGACCGAGACCGAGGAGCGAGGAAATGAAAAATAAGAGAAGTGAGGGCCCCCGATCTGCCGCCCTGCCCTATCTGCAGTGCGCATGTGCGAGATGGTCCGCCATATTGGACAACTCCGTACGGCAACCCAAGAAGGACACTTGACACTAGATCTAGATCTTGTACTCGAGTAAAAGTACAAGTACCAGAGTGTAGGAATACTCTGTTACAAGTAAAAGTCCTGCAGTCAAAATGTTTCTCAAATCAAAATATACTTAAAGTACCAACAGTAAAAGTAGTTATTGTGTAGATTGGTCCATCTCAGAATATTATATATGATATGTTTTATAATAATTGATCATGAAAGTGTTCTCAAAGCTGGTAAAGGTGCAGCTAGTTTGAATGACTTTGTATACTGCAGGGTAGCTTGTGAATTTACTCCAGGTGGAACTAAAGTCTGATTTAACACTTGATTATATTTCACATCATTAATCCACATCTGTAAAGTAGCTAAAGGTATTAAATACATGTAGTGGAGTCAAATTACATGATTTACCACTGAATTGTAGTGGGGTGGAAATATAAAGTAGCATAAAATGGAAATACTCAATTAAAGTACAAGTACCTCAAAATTGTACTTTAGTAAATGCACTTAGTTACTTACATCACTGCTATCAATCAGTTAAAAAGTCAATACAGGGATTGTTCGGAGCTTCATTTGTCATCATGTCTGGGTGAGTATTGGTTGTGCGTTGACGGTGATCTCACTGTGTCAGCTGAGCAGCCTGAAGCAGCTGCTTCACCTGGACATCGCAGAGAACTGCTTCAGATCCATCCCCATCTGTGCTCTGAGGATGAGCGCTCTGCAGCTGCTGGACCTGAGCCACAACCGCCTGGGCGACCTGCCGCAGGACATGGACAGGTGACCACCACCTGGAATCTGATTACTCTGAGCAACATGATCCTGGACATCCACTGGGAATGTCTCTTTACTTTTATCAGAAGTGTCTTCAAAGCTGACACTGAAATAACTGAAACGTTGACTTTAATTAAATGGGTTATGTCAACCGATTTAACCGATTGACATAACTGTATTAGGTTAGTTGAAAGCAATATTATTCAGTTTAAATACACATTTTAGCTTCAGCTTAATTGTATTGCTTTCAACTAACCTAATACAGTTATGTGAAATGTGTTCACATAATACATTGAATTAAAGTCAACTTTTTTTCTTACAGTTGTTGTTACATTTAACAATGAATTCAATACATATTTCGAAATCATTAAGATGTGCAAAAAAATACTTTTATGTCAGTGTTTTACTGATCTTTTATATTTATTTCCAGAATAGTCTTTCCCTTCCTTCTATTTTGACTTGTCTCTCTCCACTCTAACACATGTAAATATATATATATAACATATGCAGTTGACTTGAATAAAAGCCGCACACACCCCACCTTTTGAAATCAGAACGAGACTTCTTACTCAGTGAGGTTAGTTCTGCATTTAGCTGAACACAGTTCCACTCAAATGACCACACAATCATTTTGTGTATTAATTAAAATGAAGCACTGTGTGTGTGTGTGTGTGTGTGTGTGTGTGTGTGTGTGTGTGTGTGTGTGTGTGTGTGTGTGTGTGTGTGTGTGTGTGTGTGTGTGTGTGTGTGTGTGTGTGTGTGTGTGTGTGTGTGTGTAGGTTGGAGCAGCTGGTCACCCTGTTCCTCCATAAGAACAACCTGACTTATCTTCCTCACTGTCTCACCAAAATCTCAACGCTCAAGATGATCGTCGTCAGCGGCGACGAGCTCAACTCCATCCCGACCAGACTGTGCAGGAATCCCGAGATCAAGTAGAGAAAAACACACACATCCTCAGTCCACACAGACATCAAGTACACACACTACAAAGACATCCAGTACACAAAACACACTGACACCAAGTACACAAAACACACTGACACTAAGTACACAAAAAACACTGACACCAAGTAAACAAACTACACTACGTCCAGTACACAAACACCACCAACATCAAGTACACAAACACCAACATCAAGTACACAAACAACATCAACATCAAGTAGACAAAGAACACCAACATCAAGTACACAAACACCAACATCAAGTACACAAACAACACCAACATCAAGTAGACAAACAACACCAACATCAAGTACACAAACAACACCAACATCAAGTAGACAAACAACACCAACATCAAGTACACAAACACCAACATCAAGTACACAAACAACACCAACATCAAGTACACAAACAACACCAACATCAAGTACACAAACACCAACATCAAGTACACAAACAACACCAACATCAAGTACACAAACATCAAGTACTCTAACACCAACATCCAGTACACAAACTACACTACATCCAGTACACAAACACCAACATCAAGTACACAAACACCAACATCCAGTAGTATACAAACTACACTACATCCAGTACACAAACTACACAGACAAACAAAACCAACATCAAGTACACACACACACCAACATTAAGTACACAAACACCAACATCAAGTACACAAACAACACAGACAAACAAAACCAACATCAAGTACACACACACCAACATTAAGTACACAAACAACACCAACATCAAGTACACACACACACCAACATTAAGTACACAAACACCAACATTAAGTACACAAACAACACCAACATCAAGTACACAAACACCAACATCAAGTACACAAACAACACCAACATCAAGTACACAAACACCAACATCAAGTACACAAACAACACCAACATCAAGTACACAAACACCAACATCAAGTACACAAACAACACCAACATCAAGTACACAAACAACACCAACATCAAGTACACAAACACCAACATCAAGTACACAAACACCACCAACATCAAGTACACAAACACCACCAAAATCAAGTACACAAACAACACCAACATCAAGTACACAAACTACACAGACAAACAAAACCAACATTAAGTACACAAACACCAACATCAAGTACACAAACTACACTACATCAATTTCTGAAACAACACCAACATTAAGTACACAATCACACAGACATCAAGTACACAAACTACACACAAACAGGCAGAGCTGGCAGATGTTTTTGGACCACAGTGAACAACTTGTTGTTTTTGAGGATAAATGGCAGCTACTGTGTATTGAAGCAGAATATTTCAAAACGTGATCAGAGGTTGGCTTTGGGACAACTGGACCAAGCTTTTGGAATGCTTGGATCACAGGAATGAAGCTTTGAAAGTGTTTTGCTCATGTTATGAAACTGTTCTCAGGTTTATCAGACTTTGCGACAACCGTGCGACTGCAGAGAATAAGAAGAAAGAGGAGGAGGAGGAGGAGAAGAAGAAGAAGAAGAACAGGTGGAGAGAGCCGAGGGAGGAGGAGGTGAAGAAGGACAGCGGAGAGAAGGAGTTCATCGAGCTGTACGTCGACTCGCTGAAGGACAGAGGTGAGAGGAAAGATGCATTTATTATTATCAGGTAAACTCCAGCTAAAATAATACATTTTTTATATCTTTAAAACTGTATATTGATGCTTATTGCATTTTTTGTCTGTTTAGTTTATTCGTATGTGGCATCTTAAAGACTTATATGCTTTTCCGGTTATTATCCGCACCCTTTGTGTTATGTAGCTTTTTCTGCATGTAAACGATCTGCAAAGTCACAAACCTTCAAAGTACACCCTGTAGCGAGTAAAACTCTAACACGTGTCTATGCTGCCCCAGAACGCCTCGTTAGAGATTTTTCTTTTTCCATTTTTTTCTTCCGGGGCCTACTGACGTAACGCCGACCAAATGGACCAATCCGCGGAGCTCCGCACATACACACACTAGGCTTGTTTGAGACGAGCTGCGGCTCGCCTCGAAAGTAGACGAGAATAATCGATCGCAGCCGGGAGAGGTCTCAAAAAGCTCGCCTGAAGTCGGACAGGTCGGAGTCGGCTTCTTTTTCTTCTTCTTCTTCTTTTTCTTCTTTTTCTTCTTCTTCTCTCGGTTTTTGGCGGATTGCAAACCGGAGTCGGCTTGACTCGGTTTGCATTTATAAAGAATGCACAAATGTGTTGTGTTGTTAATGTCATATATGTAGGCTACTAAGTAAATACATTTGTTCCTGCTCAAGATTAGATTCAACTGTATTGTTATTGCACATATTACAGGTACTGAGACAACGAAATGCAGTTTAGCTTCTAACCAGGTGCAACAAGCAGTAAAGTGAAAAGTAATGTAAACAATCTACAGAATAAAATATAGAATGAATTGAATGATGAATAAACAGTGAGGGATATGAATACACTAGATCAGTGGTTCCCAAACTTTATCAAATTAGGCTTCATCAAAGCAGCAACACACTCATTTAAACCAGATAGGTCACAACATTAAAAATGAGGCAAAGGAAACTCAGCAGAAATTCAGCACAGAGAACTGTCAATGCAAGGAAGCTGCATTGTCCATGGTCCTGAACTACAAATTATAAATGTAACATTTCAGCAATCAGCATTGAAACATGTGCTATTGTAAATATGTTTGCCGACTTACAAATTAGTGAGATACATGTGCATGTCGGGGCGCACAGATTTTTTTAATCCTTGGTGGCACTGAGGAGAGGGCCACTTGCAAGTCCTGTTCAACAGAGAGCCGTGACCTCCTGTTGTTCTTCATGTAAATCAGAGTAGAGAACGCCAACTCCAGAGATGGGGTCGTTACTCAAAAAATGTAATATATTACATATTACTTTTAAAAAAAAAAGTAATATATTAAACTACTTTGTTACTATCTACATAAAGTAACTCGTTACTTTACTCGTCGAACACGTACGAACTGCGCATGCGTGAGTGGCAATAACTTTCCTTGCCAGCAGGCGGCGGTAGTGTGTATTTGTCATTCAAAACAGGCAACAACCGGAAAACAGAGAAGAAGAACAGACTGCATGATAGAGATGGCAAATCCGGATCATTTTATGGACTCGGAGTCTTCTGAGTCAATCATTGAAGAGATCCGGATCATACGAGTCATTTGAGTCATTTGAGTCATATGAGTCAGCATGACCAAGACCGTAGAAATCCTACCGGTGAAACCGAAAAGTTGTTGCATTTAACCAGCATATTAAACTAACGTTACATTAACCTCCGCTACACAGTGTCTTTTGCTTTAATAAAACATGTGTGTGTGTGTGCATTTTAAAAAATAAGTGTTTTGCATTATATGTATATAGTTATTTTAATATGTTCCTGTACTTAAGCTAATTTTGCACAATTGTGTTTTCATTTAATAATAATAATTGTATAATTACATTTTATATATTCTAACTGTTTTGAAATGTTCTATAATTTGTTTCTTTTTGTGTGCCATGTTCAAAATAAACGAGTTTCCAAGTAAGATCCGATTCCTTATTGGAAATGCAGCTATTATTACAGGAGAGTCTCCTGTAATAATAGCTGCATTTCCTGAGGAGACTGTTGCACAACATGACCATTTTGTTAGAAGTCTACACTGAAACTTAATTTAGAGCCGGAAAAATCGCGGGATCCGTGAATCCAGGTCAATGATCGAGAGAGACCAGTAGCCTACGAGGACTCAGAGCCGTAACATATAGCAGGCAGCAGATCCAGAGATCCAGCAGACTCGTCCCCATGCACGAATCTACAGCAGACTCAGCCCCTCCTCCGGCTCGCACGGCTCCCGCGAGTCCCACGGCTCCCGCGAGTCCCACCGCTCCCTCGACGAGTCGCAGCAGACTCAGAGATTTGCGGACTCACGGCTCACTCACGGCTCACGGCTCACTCACGGCTCCCGCGAGTCCAACGACTCACGGCTCACTCACGGCTCACGGGACTCTGGCGGGAGCCGGAGGAGGGGCTGAATTTGCTGTTGATTCGTGCATGGCGACGAGTCTGCTGGATCTCTGGATACAACAACGTTGTAATGTGATTGTACACGTTATAAAGAGAGTAAAGAGTGACGCAATTTATAGTTTTAATTGTTACGTCACATCAGGTGTAGGACTCAAAGAACTCGGGTTAATCGAGAGGGAGACTCGTCACGACCGGCTCATTACTAGGATCCGGGTTAATGATCCGGATGAATCATGACTCGCCCATCTCTACTGCATGATATAAACAAACAACAAATAGCGTGTGCGGTAGCTTCACCTTAGCATGTGTTCTTTGCAGGTGCTTGTTGAGGTTTGACCACGTGGTGTTTCCAGCAGTGGATAACAGCTGCTGGCCTGGACACAGTTTGCACCTCACCGTCACATTCCTGTCTATTCTTCGGACGAACTCAAAATAATGGGCATACCTCCACCCCTCGAAAGTTATCGCTGACTCAGCCATGTTTATGCAGCACTGCACTTCAGAGTTCCCGTTAGCCGGTAATTACCGGACTACGACCGGTAAAATATGCTGAAGACCGGCAAATCTAAATCTCTCCGGTCAAAGTGTCCGTTCAAAAATAATTTCCGTTTAGCGCAATACCACATCAGTTGCGCAATTTGCACCATTTATGTGACAGACAAGAAGAGTATGTGACAGACAAGAATAGTCAATTCTAATGTCTAACACGTAATGTGGAGAAAGAGATGTCCTCATGGGTTGATTGTGCGTTGATCTGTTGGTAATGCCTCGGGGTTCCGGTGGGCATGTAAACAAATGCATAATGCTGCGCTATACTTTGTGGCCTCACCCGGTTGCATAGCGACACTTATTGTTTAGGTGTCTTTTAATAAGCAGGTAGTCATATCATTAGCTAGAACTAGCTGGATCTGATCGATATGGACATAAACGCGAGTGAAATCTAATCTGACGGGAGAGAGAGATCAGCTGCTGCTGACGAGTCGACACGCAGCTCTGCATGATCACAGAACAAAACACACACTTCAGGTTAGAATATCACACGTAGCTATTTTAATGACCTCTCAAACTACCTAAACTAGTTATATGTTTAGTTTCAATGTCGGGTCACTCATTACTGATCCGCGAGCTGCATGATACTGACGGGCTGTCAGGAGAGGGAGAGAGCGCTCCGTTTATTATTCCCGTGTTATTGTAAATTACTGTTCACTTTTGAATAATGTAGTTAATCTACTATAATTAGTTTAATATTGAATCATATCAATTTGTTTTAAAGCTCAATAAATAACAAAGAAGACCTTTGACCTGCACTTTTCTCATTTTGTCCGGAAGATTTAAACTTTAACGGACATGTTGACATGTTGATATTCTAACGGGAACTCTGCTGCACGTGGAGATGTGGACGCGCAGATTACGTACATATAAACCTACAAAGTACTGATATAGTAAATAAAAAAATTATTTTTGTGTAGTTGTATATTGCAATAATAACGTATGGTTGTCACAAAATCCCACGGCACACCCGGACTTGCCTCACGGCACACCAGTGTGCCGCGGCACACCGTTTGGGAACCACTGCACTAGATATACACAGCAGCCTGTGAGCAGTATGAACAGTGTGTATGAATATGCTAAGATATATAAAGTATGAAAACGGTAAGCAGTGCAAGTATAGTATAAAATATATAGATATTAATTTCATGATGATAAACATTGTGGAACAATGATACAAATGGGAATGGATGTGGCGACGTAAAACTGACACAAAATAACAACAAACTTTTGCCGAGCCAATTGGAGAGTTTCATCAGCAGCACGGGGTAAAAACCACCAATGAGCGCTCAGCTCGAGATACCAGCGAGTCGTTTCCCATCAAGCATTTCGCTTCCGCAGCCCGCGGAGAGGAACTGCGCCGCCTCGCCGCGCCTCGCTCTCAAGGCTGCGGGCGTCTTTGTCCCGCGAGATTTCAACGTCTCATGTAGGCGAGCCTCCAGAGCAAGTCGGACAAAATGACTAACCATCATGCAACGCACTAGCAAGACGGTGATCGCAACTGCGCAGGTCTCGCTTGTCTCAAACAAGCCTAATCACTCAGCCTTACCCCTAGATTCCACCGGGTCCGTCTGCGTCATGTTGCGGCTGCGCCACGGTTTTGGTCCGGCCTCCTCCATGGCGTTATATTTGTGCCTCTATCCTGAGCACGCAATGAAACATGCTGAGCATAGAAAATGCGATTGAGCGCCACTTGAACATTTTTGAGCACAGAGAAATATATTTTCTCTCATAAAACTCCTGCTCCGTGCGCAAGCAGACCGCTGCACGCGCTCTCCAGTAGCGTGGCGTGGGGAAAAAATTAGGGGAAGCCAATAATACGTCCTTTCTTTTGGGTCGGGGCCCGGGTGTGGTGGTCAATGTAATAACGTAACCAGTTGAGTGATTACAGCACCCGGTATCATTTTACACACATTTGTATCATACAGATGCAGGACTTACACACGCCTGTTATCTAACCGACAGGTCCGCACGCACTCTCCAGCCGAAACTCTAATAAGCATTCATTCACAAACTAAATCAGGAGACCTTTAACGTTTTACGTCCGAT